GGGAAGGGCTGGCCGGCCCAGGGAAGGACTGGCTGTCCTGCAGGCAGGAGCAGCAGCTGTGCGTGCCCTGTGAGAAGGCTCCCATTCATCTCAGCGAGAGCGTGCGGGGGAGGCAGCGCAGCACAGGGGAGGGGGAAGTGTTGGAGGAGGCTGAGAAAAGGAAGGAGGCCGCAGTTAAAAATAGGATAAAAGGACATGAAAAAAAAAAAAAAAAAAAAAAAAAAAAAAAGAGGCAGATTTAAAAAAAAAAAAAAGCTTTGCTCAGAAAATGCTCTGCAGCTGGAGAAGCCATCGGGCTGAGCCTGGTCAGCTTTACTTTCCCCCCTCCTCCTCCTCCTCCTCCCCAAGCCCCCTTCCTCCGAGCGTGGGCCTGGAAGATGGCCCAGAAAGCGCTCACAGAAAACGTTTTCCTGCGGGGTTCTCCACCGGGAGAAGAGCAGGCAAAGGAGGGGACACGTGGGGAAAAGCAGGCAGGCTTGGCCACGGATGTGGGTGGCCCCGTGGGACCCCGGCCCACAGCCCGGCTGGGCTGGGAGCCGGGCTGGGAGGAGGATCACAGGGTCCAGCCCTGCTTGCTGTGGGCACAGAGCACACCGAGGTGTTTCTCCAGCTGCAAGGCCTTGGCTCTCCTGGCCAAAGCAGCTCAACACCAGGACAGCCCAGGCTGCAATGCCCATGAAGCACCAGCTCTGCTTTTTGCTCTCCAAAGATCCCTGGGATGGTTCAAGGCCAGCCTGGACACAGCTTAAAGCAGCCTGCTCTGGTGGAAAGTGGCCCTGCCAGTGGCATGCCATTGGGATGAGGTGGTCCTGAAGGTTCCTTCCAACCCAAGCCATCCCAGGATTCTGTGATCCATTTCTCAGTGAAGCCAGGAGCACTCCCCCAAATGCTCAGAAGTACCCAAAAGGCTGGGAATACCTTCAGTCCAAGGATGCTAATTCAGCACAACAGCTGTAGAAACCTCTTCCGCTGGAGACGGAGTGGTTCCATCCCTCACTTGCCATTAACAACAGTTTTATCTCCCCTATCAGTAAGGAAAACAAACCCACTCTGAGTGGAAGGGGCTGTTAAAGTGGCCTTGGCTCCTAAAGGCAGCATAGCCAGCCCTGTGTCTGTGCTGAAATTGTCATGGAATCACAGAATCCCAGAGTGGTTTGGGTGGGAAGGGACCTTAAAGATCATCTCATTCCAACCCTTGCACCACGGGCAGGATGCCACTCCCTAGATCAGGCTCAGAGCCCCACAATACTTTGATAATCCCACTAGCAAATATTTTCTTCCACTCCAGTTTTACACCTAACCTTGTATAATCCAAAAAATATTCCCAGGGAGGATTATTGGGATCCTATTTCCTTATGAATTCACTGTAAGGTGCTAAGTGTGGCTTTCAGCATCCTTTAGCAGCGCTTTGGGCAGGCACAGGGCACCTGGGTGGCAGGTGGAGCAGTCAAGGTGCCTTTACTGACCTGATGCCAAGGAACAGAGCTATGTGCCCTTGTGTAGCTCATCTCCCTCCTTCTGGTAGGCTGCCTTCAGTTACTGGAGAGCTGCTCTAACATTTGCCCAGAGTCTGCTCTTCTCCAGGCTGAGAAGATGCCTGGAGGACTTCGGCTTGATGACAGACTCCCTGTGCTACACTGGGGGCTCAGACCATTCTTCTCCTTGGAATTGCTGTGGGATGCTCAGCCACTGTTTCTTGTTCTTCATTGTGGTACGGTAATAAATAGTTGGTTGCTTTAATAAAGACACACTTGAAACTATAAGAGCTAAATTTTAAATAAAAATTAATTTGAGAAAAATTTCTAAACCTGTGGCCCATTACCCCAGCCCAGCAGAGTAGCCAGCAGCTCCCCTCTGGATGGCCTTGTTCTGTCACCTCTGGGCTGGGCCTTTCCCTCCTGTGGTGATCCCTGGGCACTGACATTCCCAACATGTGCACCACACATTGTGGTACAAGCTAACAAATAAAACTGACTCCAGTCCATTTTCAAATGTTGGACTTTCAAGACAAAAAACTCCACCCCTTCTTGCTTTATCTCTGAGCTGAATCCACATCAGGCTTTCCTTTATCCATATCACAGAATAATCTTATCAGCTTCAAGCACAGTGTAAATAAACTTGCTGAAGCTTCAAAGGCAAAGCATCTTCCCTAAACGCAAGCAGCCCTCAAACTCTTAGAAATGTTGTGGGTTTCTATTGCAGGAGGATATATTCACACTTGCATTTTCCTTGTTGACTTGTTTCTTTCACCAACATCAAGACCATGAAAACCAAAATAGCCTCTGGTGCAGCAGAAGAATAGATGACAAATGGTTTTCATGTGCAGCTGAGACACAAAGGAGAAATGAAAGGCTGTTCCTGGCCCCATATACAAATAAGAGTTTCCTCTCATTTAAAATTAGAAACTGCTCTAGACTGAAGAACCAGCAACATGAAAAAACAAATCAGAGAAAGAGCACCTTGCATTGCAACAGGAAGAACTAAAAAGTAATTTTTAGGTATTGCAAGAGACCCAGGGACACTGTCCTGCTCATCCCAACTCACTAAAAGCGGGATCAAAACCTGTGGGAGACGGCAACAGCTTGGATTTCTTTCCCTGGCTTCACTAATGTTTGAGGCAGGCTCCAGCCTCTGCAACAGGAAAGTTCACAGAGCCATGGTGGAATAAGGAAGATCTGGGCTGCAGATATGTTGGTCCCTGGAGAGAGCACTTTCACAGAAAATGGGAGAGGGTTGGGGAAAAAGACCTAAAAAAACTTTCCAGGCACAGACTTGCAAAATGTTTGAGCAAATCCAAATGTAGCCAGGGCAGATTTCATCAGAGCAGAGCTGACATCATGCTGAGAGAGGTCACTCACAGGAGTTGAGCAAATAGCTGGAATAAGGATGCCTGGGAATAGCAGAGGGGCTTTGCTCCAGCCACAGGCACAGCTCTCTGTGTCCATCTCCTGCTCACACTCAAGTGCTCACCAAAAGAGAAAGGAAAAAAAAACCCAAATGCCTGAACTTTTGCCAAGGAGAGATTTCAAATTACATTTGACACAGCAGTCAGTGGTTCTGCTGAGCCCTTAGCTGCAGAAAGTCTCTGAACCTCAGGGCTTTCCCTCCCAGGGGCCAGTGAGCACCACTAAGGAGCAGGAACGCTCACTGGAGAGCAGCACATGCCACAGGGGAGCTCACACGGGATTTAAGTGCTTCAGGACAGGCTTATGTGGGACAGAAGGGAAACATAAACTTCATCTTGGCCCTTGGAAAGGTCATGTTGTGCAACTTGAGCTCTCTCTCTTGATTCTGTGGCTGGGCCGTGCTGGGGGGTACCTGAGCCCTGGGCTGCTCCCTTCTCACCCAGCCAGGCCAGAGAATATCTGCCCTGTCAGCTGCTCCTCCAGGAGTCCTGAAATCCCAGGCTGGGCTGGCTTGCACGGCACCTTAAAGCTCATCTCATTCCACCCCACCTTCCACACCACAAGAAGCAGCCCAAAGTGCAAGCTCAGCACGAAAATTCATCTGCTGGGGCAAGAATCAGATACTGGTGCTTTTCTAACATCTTCCATACTACAGAGGTGTAGGAGGAGACATCAGCTAGGCCCAGGCAGGGAAGGCATGAACACATTCCCTGGGCCCTGGCAAGGAAGGCATGAACACATTCCCTGGGCCCAGGCAGGGAGTTGCTTTAGCTGATGGCTCAGTGTGGCCTCTCCTCTCCAGCTCTGGTGACCAGCAACATCCCAAGAAATCATCTTCCATACTACAGAGGTGTAGGAGGAGACATCAGCTAGGCCCAGGCAGGGAAGGCATGAACACATTCCCTGGGCCCTGGCAAGGAAGGCATGAAGACATTCCCTGGGCCCAGGCAGGGAGTTGCTTTAGCTGATGGCTCTCTCCTCTCCAGCCTCTCCTCTCCAGCTCTGGTGACCAGCAACATCCCAAGAAATCAAAAAATCCCAGAACTGGGTTGGAATAGACCTTAAAGCCCATCCGGTGCCATGGGCAGTGACACCTTCCACTATGCCAGGCTTCTCCAAGTGTCCCACATGAACACATTCCCTGGGCCCAGGCAGGGAGTTGCTTTAGCTGATGGCTCAGTGTGGCCTCTCCTCTCCAGCTCTGGTGACCAGCAACATCCCAAGAAATCAAAAAATCCCAGAACTGGGTTGGAATAGACCTTAAAGCCCATCCAGTGCCATGGGCAGTGACACCTTCCACTATGCCAGGCTTCTCCAAGTGTCCCAACCTTGGACACTTCCAGGGCTGGGGCAGCCCCAGCTGCTCTGGGCACCCTGTGCCAGTGGAAAACATTGAGCTACAAGAGACCCAAAATTACCAGCAGAGTGGAATGGGAATTTGGGAATCTCTGTTTCCTTGCAAGTCTCCATGGATGCCACTTTGCAAAGCCATAACCAGGAGCCACGACATTAGTCCTGCAAATGCCAGGAGAAATGCCAGCAGCTTGGCAGGTGCACCCTGCCCACGGGATCCTCGCAGAGACCCCAGGAGCAGCAAGTAGGGCTGCTGCCCCCACATGCAAGGGAGGTGCACACAGAACTCCAAAATTCCAAAAACCAGCAAAATCACCAGTTGAAAGGGGTGAGGAGCTCTCCCACACCATGGCAGGCAAGAAGGAAGCTCCTACTCATCAGCATCACTTCAAGAGGTGGACAATAGACACAAAATCCCCATATTTAAGGGGTTATTTCTGCTTTGTGGGCCAATCTTCACTAAGGGAGACCCTTGACACTATCAAGGCAGGTACCAACCTGGTGATGCTGTGCCTGAAGGCTGCACTAAGGGCAAAAACCCAATAAATGAAGGCAGGACTGGGGCAGAAAGCAAATATGCAACAACGCTTGGGGGGGACACAACAAACAGAGACTGGCAGAGACTCAGGCTCCTTTTTCCAGCTGAGGCTGCTCCGAGCCACTCAGCACAGTCCTACCCGTGCCACTGCCGTGTCCTACCTGTTCCACCCCGTGTTTTACACGTGCCACCCCGTGTCCTACCTGTGCCATAGTGCTCCAGCCCGGTGGGCACCTCCTGCGTGGCGGGCTCGTCCCACAGCGGGCAGCACGGCCGGGGCTGGCAACAGGAGGCCTGGAAGGCACAGGTCACCCAGGGATCCTCGCAGGGAACAGGGACTCCTTGTTTCTGGAAGGAGCAGGGGGAAACTGTCAGGAGAGCGGGATCCCAAAATGTCAGCGGTGCTGCCCCCAGAATCAGGCAGCAAGTGCTGCTCTGGCAGATCCCAGCTCATCTGGGGCCAAAAAGAGCCATTTTTAAACCAATATGAGGAGAAAAGTGAAAGTCAGAGTGAGGCTGAGTCTGGCAGGATTGCAGCTTGAGGGGTCTCCCATGGGGACACTCTCTGGGGCAGGGCTTTGTTCCACTCCCCACAACTGGGAATGTCACTTTTAGGCAGCAGGAGGCCCCAAAACCCCCAAAACGTGGGGGGTCACCAGGGAGTGCAGAACCACAGCCCTGCCCAGGCACTGAGGGGGAGCCTGGTCCCAGCTGTCATATTTATGTTCCTATTCCTATTTATAGGGATACTATTTGGGATTCTTTTCTTTTTATTTTCATCATAAACATTCTATGGACACACCAATAAAACCATCACAAACAATATTCATATTGTTTATGATGGTTTTATTGGTGTGTCCATAGATATGTTTATACATGTGGTATGCATACATGGGTATATGAGTTATACACCTCATATGAAATGTACAGATGCATATATAATGTATACAACATAATGTATCATTACACACACATTACATAATATACATATTATTATGTGTTAACACACAAGCCATTATAGATGTACTGATTATATGGGTGATACAAGAATTCATACACCCACACCCATGTAATCCTAGCTTATAACTCTATATAAATTATACATTTATTTTTATTGTATATGAAGCTAAATTTATACTTTATAAAGAAAATATATTTCTTAGACATGAATATAGAGGTATTTAGAAACATAGCATGGTTTAGATCGGGAACACAGCTTTGATAAATGATTCCAGGATATAATTTTCCTTTTATTTTGGACACACCTATTTTATACATATTTATTTATGTGTATATATCTAGTGTGTATATATATGTACACACCATATTTATTATGTGCATCTGTGTGTATATTTTATATATATATTTACCATGGACACACACACGTATACATATATACCATACAATAAATACATTGCATTTAAATGTTTGTCTCCCTAGAAGAGGACAATACCATGCACATACCTATAAATAAATGCAGGATGTTTGAATTTTTTATCATTGTTACCATTTCCCTGCGGGGGAATAGATTTCCTTGATGGCAAATCAATATTTAAAAGCCAAATGCTTGCTCGGAACCATTTAAAGGAAAGCTATGAAGCTGCCTTGGGAATATTTCACAGCTCAGGATGGGCTTTTTTTCCCAGTTTGGGGAAAATGTTGGGTTTTAGCACAAGTTCTGTGCAGCCTGAGGTGTCAGCCCAGAGCTCTAAATGCTCAGCAGTTCTTTGGACAAATGGTTAGAAATGCCATTTCTCTGAGTAGAGATCTGATTTCTCTGAATATAGGTCTGATTTACTGAAATATGGATCAGATTTCCCTAAATATGGATCTGATATCTTTTTTTTCCTAAAAAAGGCTCAAATCCCTGCCCAACCTGTCCCAGGATCACACTCCAACCTTTATTACACACAACCACCCATCAGCTGCAAAGAGAGCAGAGCTGGCTTGGGACAGGGAGCACTGGAGTGGTCCCAAAACCCCAGAAACCCACAGGAACCCTTCCCAAGCACTGCCTGCTCTGTGCTGGTCCCACTGGTGCCAAGTGAAGGGCAGCAGGGGGAGCAGGCAGCGGGACAATGCTTCCCCTGACACTCCTCCCAACACCAGCACAGGAAATCCCACCCAGGATCCCATTTCCAGGGGAGGTTTGCAGGCTCCAGAGGGTCAGAGAAGCTCTGGGTAAACATTTGGAATTCAGGACTGCCCTGAACTATCTCAAACCTTGGATCCTCAGAAGAGGGCACCGAGCTCAGTCAGAGCTGGAGAAATCACAGCAACCTGAGAGAAATCTGCTGGGGTAGGAAACCAGCCCCAATTCCTGTCTTTTATAGAGGCATGGAAAGGTTTGGGCTGGGAGGGACCTTAAAGACTGTCTCACTCCAAGCCCTGCCATGGCAGGGACACCTTCCACCATCTCAGGTGGCTCCAGGTCCCATCCAGCCTGGCCTTGGACACTTCCAGGGATCCAGGGGCAGCCCCAGCTGCCAGGGTCTCCCCACCCTCACAGGGGTGAATTTCTTACTAAAATCTCATCTGTGCCCACCCTCATTCAGTGCAAGGCCATTCCCCTTGTCCTGTCCATTCCTTACCATCATTCCAGGCCGAGCCAAAGCATAAGGAACTGTGTTGCTGATGGTTGTGTCCATATAATAACTCATCATCTTGCAGATGCCTGCAGGAATGGAGAGGGGCATTAGATTCCATGCCACAAAAACTGACAGCACCAGCTAAATCCATGCTTTCCACAGCTGTATAAAGCTTGGAGCAGACTGTCACCTGAACGAGCTTAGGCTGGAAAAGTTAAGAGAAAAAATACCTGGATTAATAGGAAATATTGTGATTAGAGGGGTTGTATCAACAATGCAGCACCCAGATGCAGGAGTGTAACCAGGGGAGAGCCTGACAATGGGGACTGAATGATCACCTGCAAGCTGAGGGAGCCGCTCTGAGGGAAGATGAGATCATATTTCCTTTGCTGGAGAATTGGTGGGAAATTGTTGCCAATTTTTTTCTTTTGAGAGAGGAAAAAAAAAAAAAGGCAGTTTGTTGAGATCAACACCTTTCCTGTGAAAGCTTTGTCAGGCCCAGTCTGTCTCACAAAGAATTTTGCAGCTTTCAGGACACATCCTCTGTTTTTGCACAGGAGCTTGTGTTTCCCTTGCTGAATCGCTGCCTTGCAGCCCCACACGGCATTCCTCACTCGGGATTCTCTCTCCTAAGCAAGTCCTCCTGCCAGAGCTGCTCATCACTGAACCCATTTGTGCGGCTGAGAAGCTGCAATGTGGCTCTGTCATCAGAGCTGCGGGTGTTCCTCCCTCCCTCCCTGCAATGCCAATGGAAACGCAGGACCAAGGGCAAGGTCTGTGTTTTGGGGAGGTGACTCCAAGGTGCTGGGAGGACAGAGGGAAGGGGAATGAGCTGGGCTGGGCAGGGCTGGCTCAGGCCTCAGGCAGGATGGCACCTGGAGCTGTGAGAATGGCTGTTCCCAGCCTGGTGGTGCAGAGGAGCTGCTCTAACCTCTCTGAGGACACAGCCCTGGTTTCTGGGGAGCCCCTCTGCCCTCCTGCAGAGCCCTGGGCTGTGGCCGCTGCAACTGCAAACACCTGGCTGAGATATCTTACAACAAAATCCCAGAACATCTGCTCCAGCCCTTAACCTGGCACTGCCAGGCCCATCACTATCCCAAGTGCCACTTTACACGTTTGGAACACTTCCAGGGAAGGGGACTGCACCATGTCCTGGGCAGCTGTGCCAGTGCTTGGCAAACCTTTGAGTGAAGAAATTTTCCTGATATCCAGCCTAAACCTCCTCTGGTGCTACCTGAGGCTGTTTCCTTTACTCCTATCACTTGTATCCTGGGAGAGCAGGGAACTCCCCCTGGATCCCCCCTCCTTGCAGGGAATTGTATGGAGCCAGAATTCACAAGATTGGAAGGGACCTTAAAGACCATCGAGTCCAACCCATGCCCTAACATCTCAACTAAACCATGGCACCAAGTGCCACATCCAGGCTTTTTTTAAAGAGGGTCCCTTGAGCCTCCTTTTCCTCAGGCTGAGCCCCTTTCCCAGCTCCGTCATCAGACCCGTGCTTCACGTGTTTTTTGCTTAGCTCTTCTCAGCAGAACCAGCACAGCCACATCACCTCCAGCCTCCACTTCTACCCTGGACCCTTGAACATCCTGGATGCCCTGGCACCCTGTCCCAGCCTTCCCTCTGGTTCTTGCCCGGGGCTTTGCTGCTGCCGGAGCTCTCTGCACTTCTCCACCCCCGGGGAAGGGCAGAGCTGCTTTGGCTCTCACTCAGCACCTCAGCAAACAGGGACCCCCAGAGCATCTCCCCCGTGCCCTGTGAGTAATGGCCCAACACAAAACACCTGCATGTGCACAGTATTAAATTATCATCATCATTTCCTGCTGGTTATTACTAACTCTGCCTCAAACATCAGCAGAATTTTTTTTTTCAAACTTCTCTTTTTTAATTCACAAGACTGAAAATTACCCCTACGTGGTGGAAGAACAACCAACCTGTTTCTCTTTGTGCTGTACCCAAAACCACACTGAGTGCGAGTTAGTGTGGCTGAGAAGCCTTAACTAATCTTAGCATCTGAGCACGCCCTGCCAGCCCGCCCTAACGAGGCGTTAAAACGCCTTGGCTTCAATCTCCCTGCAGCTGGGGCAGCTGCAGCTGGGCCAGACAAAGTGTGTGCAGCCCATTGCTGCAGCCTGGGTGAGCACAGAACGTTTGGGTTCCAAGGGACCTTAGAGCTCATCCCGTGCCGCAGGCAGGGACACCTTCCACAAGACCAGGCGGCTTTAACCCCTGTCCAGCCTGGCCTTGAGCACTTCCAGGGGGGAGCGACCCTGGCATGAAGGGCATGCCCTAACGCAGGGCAAGGTGCTCCATCCCAGCCCGTCACACACCTGACCCCGACCTTCAGCGCATGGAAACCATCTCAGGTAAACACGGGCTGGCCTTGCCCTAAAGCAAAGGTTGATGCTGCCAAACAAAGCAAGACAGACAGGGTGGAGCCAGCCAGAGCGAGCTGGGGCTGTTCACCTGCCGCGGTGACACCCACGTGTGCGAGGGTGAGGGCTCACAGCCCCAGCAGCAAACAGCAGCCCCTGCTCTCTGCTTTGCAGCTCGTGCAGCAGCAGCTGGGGTTGCTTTGGGGTTTTGTCCCCTTTGTGCAGGCACCTCGCTCGCAGCAGCTCTCGAGAGCGCTTTCATGCCTCGCTGCCTGTCCTTTGCATCTTTCTCAGGCTGAACCTTCCAGCAAGGCACCACTCGCTGCTGCTCGAGGCCGTGGCTGTGCGCTGAGCTCAGCAGCACCAAACCCATCCTGACACCCAGGACAGGCTTCACACAACAAGGAATAGCAATAGGATTCAACCAGAGCTGCAAAGCAGCCCCGGCAGCTCCCTCACCAGCCTGGAAGAGGTGAATTAGCATCTCTAGACAGCAGCTCCAAGACATTTAGAGTCACTTTGCTTTCTGGTTTCTCTTCCCCTCCAAACTGGGCTGTTAAAAAGCACAAGAGAGGGGCAGAAATATAACACAAAACTCAGTAACAATTTGCATGCCCATCTCTGTGGGTTCAAGAGAAGTCCTGGTTAAACACAAATTAAACCAGTTCCCCAACGTGATGCAGGTTTTGTGGGTGACAGTGGTTAAAGGGCAGAGAAACAAAGTCTGGAGGCTCTGAAAAGGACCTAGAATAATGGAATCCCCGAAGAAGGAACCCCAGAAGGGGCTTTCCAAGCCCCACTATGGATGGCAGGGATGGCACCCAGTAGGTGACATACCCTGCTGGAAAAGGCAGGTGAGCAGATTCTGGGCAAGGAATAATTGTGCTCTGGAAAAGCAAGTGTGGAAAAGGAGATAGGGACAGCACAGAGGGAGCTCTGCTGTGCTTTGTCCAGGCTAATTTTAACAGAATTTCCACCACTTCCCAGAGGAAACTACTTCACAGCCCAAAACATCTCTCACTGTCAGCAAGTTTCCCTGATGGCTGAGCGATATTTTGCTTCTCTTCAGCTTCCTCTAATAAGAGCCCAAAGAGTTCCTCTCCTCTTTAGGATGCTGTCAGGGAGCTCAGCTGAGCTCCATTCCAGGCTGGAGCTCTCAGGGCAGGTAATTTGGCTGATACTGAGGAAATCACTGCAGATTTACATCAAGATAATCTAGAGCCACAGCTTGCTGAGAGCTGCTAGTAAATAGAGGGGAATCTGAACCATTTGGTAAAATCCTTAATGATTTAACAGCTTGACTTCAGCCTTATTGTTTGCTCTTTTTATTCCTGTCCTATTGTGAAAGCATGTGTGGGAGAACCAGCATTTATTTTGGGACTTGATCAAGTACCAGCCAAAGCTATTACACTCTTGGGTCATTTCTAAACTGAATTAAAATTTTAATTTCATTTCAACATCCATCCCTCCTCTTTTACAAGGTCGGGATTTTTTTTTTTTTTTTAATTTTAAGTCAATTACTGAGCTTGGTTTAAAAAGGGAAAAGCTGTTTGTGCTCATGATTAACACACACTCCCCTGCAGAAGCTGGGAAGGAGTTAAAAATGAATGTTAGAATAAAGTGAGCTTTGTCTGTTGGATATATGAAGACACTTCACAGTATTTTCATGTTTGTTGTTTGTTGTTCAGTTTTATGTTTGTTCAAGGATAGGCAGAGGGAAGTGGAGCAATGCCACAGTGACTTCCCAGTGGCAGTCAAGTCCCATCCCTGTTTCCCAGTTTAATGCTCCATCCATGGCTCTGCTGCAAAGTCCTGAGGCTCAGACTGTTCCCCAGTTTCTGAGCTGCAGCACCACGCTCAGCTCTCAGCCCCAGCTGGGCACCAGGGAAGATGGCACTGCAGGGTGGCACACCTGGGACAGCCACCAAACACTGCTCGAGTTCTTTCCTCCATCCCAATAAACCGAGAAAATTCCTTTTCCACTGGGTCTGACGAGAAGCCAGGAGGATGGGGAAGCATCAGCTGCCCCACCAAAATATTTCTGGCTTGAAGAAGGTGAATCAAGGCTTTCAGAAGATACAGCAGCCCCTGGCACACCGCCACCCTCCCCGGGCTGCCAGGCTGACCCAGAGCTGCTCAGTGATAACCACTTCATTTTTGCATCCAGCAATAATTTACCATCTTTGAGGGGGTGGGGCAAAGAGCCGCTGGAAATGACATCCTTCCGCCAGGCTTTAACCCTTGGGATCCGGGCACTTTCCAGGCCGGCTGCCAGCCCCGTTCCCAGGGGAAGAAGGGTTGTTGATGTGTTGGCATCTTAGAAACCTCCTCCCATTCATCAGCCCCCGGCACCGCCTCGCACAAAAGGAGCATCCCTAAGGCAGGAGCAGCGGACAGGAGAGTGCTTTCTACACTTGCAACCATGGTTTGAACAGATTGGCCGCGCTAAATCCCACATTTCTTATGGTTTTATAACTTTAGAGTGTTCGCACCCGGTTTCCTGCGGGGCAGGCGGGCGGGGCAGCAGGAGGTGCTGCGGTAAACAACAGAGCAGCAATGGCCCTTCTGCAGCCGCTGGAAACACTCCGGGAGGGTGAAGGGCCGGGAGAAGGTCACCGGGGAAAGCGAGGGGCCAGGCCGAGGGTGTGAGCCCGGGCCGCTGTCCGGGGCTGTCCAGCCCCGCTGGCTGCCGGGCTCGGCGCTCTGAGGGGACGGGGCAGGGCCCGCCTGGCCCCGCATCCCCGGCTGCTCCAGCGCGGGCCTCCTGCCTGCCCCGGTGCCTGTCAGGTCTGAGCAGGTACGAGGGCACCTCAAGAGCCTTCCCGTTTGGCTGGACAAGCTCTGCCTGGGGTGGCTGACAGCGGCCGTGGGAGAGTGCCAGGGGGTTAAAGTTTGGCCCAGTCTCACAAACCCCTGGCTCTCTGTGCTCGGGAGTAAACTGCTTTTTCTCTACATTTCTGCTGCTCTCTGCTCATCCATCGATTACTCAGCTGCTAATTAAGCTAAGATAATGCCCCCATCAGCAGCCCCAGCAGATGCACAGCGAGCTGACAGCACGGGTCAGGCAGGAGAGGGTTTAGGTGGGATGCCAGAGCTGTTGCCATTAAATCACCCTGCTCTGTCCCAGCTCACAGCAGCCACTGGCAGGAGGATGTGAAGGGAGGGTTAATTAGGTCAGTTGTTGTTTCACTCACGAATTTGCCTCCTGAAGCAGTAGACTCACCGCACAATGCCACAGGCCAGGGCCTCAGCTGGGGCAGAGCACAAGGGGAATGAAGGGGATCAGTGTCCCACTGCTCAGACAGGGATCCCTGCCCTCTCACGCCTTCCCCATCTCACAGAGCCCAGCCTCTCCCTGGCACAGGGCCTCGGCCAGGGCTGGACAGCCCAGCTGGGAGTCCCCCAGGATCCCTGTGCGACCTCCAGCAGGAGACCTGGAGCAGCTTGCCCCAACCCGCTCTGAAATTCCCACCAAACCTTGCTCTTCCACAGGGCCCCAAACCACTGGGGAACGTGGGGTTACCTTCTGTTTCTTTGTCCCTCAGCTTGCCAGATGGGAAAGAGGTTTGTGATCTGGAGGGGCGCACAGTCCCTCCCCCAAAGCTCAGTGGTGAACCTGAGGACAAGGGACACACACCTGTGCTCCCCCTGTGCTGGGGAGCACCTCGGGCTTTCACACACCCCCAGACCCTGGGCAAGCTGAAAACACCCCAAAAAATCAGGCCTGCCAGAGCATTATTTTCAGGGCAGGCAGGAGAAAGCTGCACAGCCAGAGGAGCAGGAGGCAGCAGGAAGGGGCTGCAGCAGCAAAGCGGCTCGGCCCCAGCCTGCAGCCCCCGCTGGCAGTGCAAGAGGGAAGCTGAGGTGCCTCTAACACCCAGTGAGGGGCCACATGCACAGCAGTGATTTACACACTAACGGGAAGGGGAAGGCCTTGGCCGGGCTCCTCAGGGACTCACAATTCCCACTGCCTGGGCCGGGGGGCAGGATTCTGCTCTTCCCAAGGAATGGCAGCACATCCCTGCAGTTGTCACACTCCAGCTTCTCCCAAAGGCAAATGCTGGCACCTGTGGTGCTCTAGGCCCTTTAGGGGATGGCATCACCGTGGAAAACATCTGGAGGGGTCATAGCAAATCCTTCCAATCATCCCTGCAAAGCAGGAATCAGCTCCGGGTCTGTCTGTCCCACCCTGGGCACTTTGGATCTCCTCCCCCTCACAGCAAAACCAAACCAAATTACACCAAAACCGAATTACAATTCAGAACAGCAAAGGAACTGCAAATTTAATTCACTGTACTAATGCCAGTGCATAGCCTTCCACCTCTATGAGGAAAATAATAATGTTCTCCTAAATCTCCATCTCCAAAATTTATGTACCAAATGTATATATATATACACACATATATATGTATTAATTTTTAAATGGAAGCATCATCTGAGACATTTACAGAAGATCCTGCAGTAGCAAATACACAAATCAGTTACTGGGTGAAACTGGAAATTGAGTGAGGAAAAGTAAATCACCACAAACCAAATCTGAGGTGTCCTGAAAATGTCTACAGGTACCTCCGACCCCCAAAAGAGTTCAAAGAGCCTCTCGCCCCTCCACTTACGGCTCAGCTGAAGGACCCGGGGAAAAGCTTTCTATCCACCACGGCTTCCCACACTTGTGTCCGCTCTCCTCCCAGCTACCTGGTGCTCTCCGCGCTGGAGCCGGGGAGGATGGAAATACCATAGTGTTCGAGGCAGGGCTGCTATTCAAAGGGAGGGGGAGTGGTCAGCCCCGCACCCAGGGCGCTGCGAACGCCGCCAGCCAGGAAAGAGCCACCTCTGGCCGCTGTCACGGCGCTGGGGAAACAAAACAGCCGCTGCTTGGAGGTGGGGATGGGTACAGCCCCGACAGCCCCGCCGTGGGTTGGCCTTGGGGTCCCGTGCCCTGTAAATGCACCCGAGGCTCCAGCCTGTCCTCCGAGCGCTGCTGCAGCCCCAAGTCCCGTGAGCGGAGTTTATTCCTGCCCAGGGGGCGAGTTAAGGCTGGCAGAGCACGGCCAGGTGAGGCTGCTGCAGCTCTGACCCCAAACCCAGCCCAGCAGCTGCCCGAGGTGCCCCATGGCACAAATCCCTTCCCCTGAAGGGCCCTGGCACCGCTGCTGTCCCTGCCCCGGGCGGGTCCCGGTGCTCTGCTCCGCTTCCTGCCTCACCCCCAGCCCTGGGAGGATCCAGCCTGCTGCCAGTCCTGCCAGCTCTTGGCATGCACCTCGGGAACCAAAAACGTGCCCTGGTGGCCGCTGTTTGCTTTTAAACCCCTGAAGGCTGAGGGAAGCTTTTAAACCCCTGAAGGCTGAGGGAAGCTTTTAAATCCCTGAAGGCTGAGGGAAGCCTCCCTCCGTGAGGAACTGCGGGGGGAATTTGCTCACTGGGCAGCGCTGGGAGCCACCGGCCCAGCTCTGCCAGGGCTGGATGGCCCGCATCTCCCCAGAGCCCAGTCCCAAGGCAGGTGCTCAGGGTGTCCAGGGTCTCTCCAGGCAGGAGAAGGGCAGGAGAGCACATTCCCGGCTGGCCAGGACCAGCAGAGGGACAGAAACACCGCGTGCAGTGATCTCAGTCCTTTAACGCCCCTGGGAATTATCCAGAGGTTCTGGAACAGCAGGATCTGGGGTGGCCTTTGTCGCACACCCCTGTCTTCCTCTTCACAGCCTGGCCAGGGAGCTCCAAACGCCAGTGACCCCCCCAAATCCCGGGTGCAGGAGGTCGTGCCCATCCCTCCTCTCCCTCTTGCGCTCTCCGGGCAGCAGAGCTGCCTTTTCCTCCAGGAGAGGGCTCCAGGCTGGAAATCCTGCCCGGCTCCAGCACGGATCCCATCTTGCTGTGTCCATGAGCAGCCCTGGAGCAGCCCCTGCCAGGGGCAAAGCCCAGGCCCCAAGGGTTCTGTGTGTGCTGCTCCAGGACCAAATGGGGCTCTGGGAGCACCTGCTGGGATTTCCCTGGAGATCCTAACAGCGAACTGTGAGAGAAGAGCCGCAAAGAGCCCCCAGCCCCAGCAGAGCTCAGCCCTCGCTGCCCCCCTGCACTGACCCCGGGAGGTTCTGCTTGCACAGTATCTGCAGGAGGGGGTGATTGCCAGGGAATTTAGCAGCACCCTCACCAAAAAACCCAAGCAGCCTGTACATCTGAGCACTGTCACTGCTGAAGGGTCGGCGTGTGGGGAGAGGAATAACTCCTGGAGACTCCTGCCCCAGCACAGCCCTGGGTATTTTGAGTACTCTCAGCACAGTGGGCATTTGCAAAGGACAAACCAAAGCTGTGTTTGCTCCCACGTGGGTAATTTCTGCCTGCACAGGGCTCCTGTAGCATCTCCTGCTGCCAAATGTTCCCCAGAGAAATCAGATGTTCTGAACAAGTGTTCACAGGATGAACAGTCCCTCCTGTCCCCCTCTCCCAGACCAGGAGATTGCTAAAATGCACAAAATGACAAATAGCAAAAAACCCCATTATTTATGTACATAAAACTATTCCCAGGTCCTTCAGGAGCTGCCAAATGATGAATGAATCTCTCCTTTAGCCCTGAATTTAGAAAGACACAGCTCCAGGTGGCCCAAATCAGTTACCTGCTGGACTGGCCAGGCACGGCTCACTCTTGTAGCTGTTTTAACACAGGAAATTATTTACAGGGTTCCATCTCCCCAGGAAGGTTTCCAGCCTCCTGGGCTTTGCTACAAAGGCTCTGTCACATCTGAGCTCCAAAGGAGTGGAATGTGTTCAGCAATCAATTTTTATCTGGGCAACTCTTCCTGGGATAACCCTGCTGGCAGCTGCAAGCAAGATGTCCTTGCCTGGATGCTCTGCTCAGGAGGGTGCTGGGATGCAGAATCCAGACATTAACAGCTCTGTGGAGTGGCTGTGAAGCCAGCTGGGAGGCTGGGACATGGAATCACAGAGTCATGGAATGCTTTGGGTGGGAAGGGACCGTGAAGATCACCAGGTTGCACGTGGTTGCCTGGTTTCAGGGTCACTGCTGTCACATCAGTCACCCAAAGCATTTGCTTCAGCTCACAACAAAAAGTAGGGTTAAATTTCGGGCAGCTCATGGAATTGATCATAAAGTCATTGCACTTTCCATGGCAGCTGCTTTGGGTTTGCTCCGTGCTCATAAAAAATAAAGTGATCCCTTAATGTTTCCCTGAAGCAGTTATTGATGGCTTCACCAAATTGGGGATGTCTTGGGGATGTTTCACAAGTTCTGCACTCGTAAGCTGCTTAAATTTGGGGCACTCAGGCTCCTGTTGAAAGGTGCAGCACACTGGTGTCAGCAGAAACAGCCCCTTTCCCAATACCCTGAGGAATCCTCACCACCACTTGGGGTGGGAGCCCAGAGCAGCAGCACTGGGAGGGAGCTGCACCTGGAGATGCTCCTGGTTTGTCTGCTGGAGCTGGGCAGGGAGCGTGGATCATCTGGGCAGAATTCAGCCCAGTCCTGAGTGCCACCGACTGTCACCTACCCCAACTCCTCTCCCTTGCAGCCCCAGGTTCCTCTCCAGGCACAGATCCCTGTGTTCCTGCCTGTGGATCATAAAGCACTAAAAGGGAGAAGCTTCCAGAGCCCTTCATGCATCACCATTTCCATCTTACTCTGGGAGAACAGAGAAGGAACCAACAAAATTATCCTGAGCACCTGAATCTCTGCTTTTGGTGTTACCCCAGGGCAGAGTGAAATGAGGATTCCTGAGCTGGAGAAACCTTACCAGTGTCTGCCCTGGAGAAGGTGACACAGCCGGGTCAGGAGCTGCCTGTGCCTGGAAATCCATGGCAGCTTTGCCCAGGGAGATGTTCCCTCTGCCCCTGCTCAGAGCCCAGCGTGACTCACAGCCTGTGCCAGAGCTGGGCACATCTGGGACCCAGGTGCTGACACCCTCTGGAGCTGCCTGGCCTCAAAAGCCAACAGGGACGGAACCAGAGCTCATCCCTCTGGACCAACCCCCATGAATTCCCTCCTGTATGGGGCCCAAGGATGCTGAATGTCCCAGCTGAGGGGAAATTTCTGCCCTCCCAAGCAGGAGAAGCTCCCCTTGGATCAGACAGGAGAAAGAGCTTTTTCTACCCTTGGATCAGACAGGAGCTCAGATCTTGCATGACCATTACCTTGGATGTGCAGGTGCAGGATATGCACTAAAACAGAAAAATTTGGGGTGCACTGGAATATCCTGAATGCTTAAACTGCCCCAAAAGTGACTTTTGTGATGCTTCTTTAGGCTGGGAGCTGCTGCACATGGATCTCCTCCACATCAACCGAGATAATTGTGATGGGCTGGCTCATCCATGGTTTATCCCACTTCTCTAAGGGAGATCAGCTGTGTGTAAAAATGGGCTTTAAACAGGGAACATCTGAAGGTGTCAGGACTGTGTGAGAAATGACATAGGGAAAAATTCCTTTTTCATCTCTATCCACATGGATAAAAACACATGGAAGCATATGGAGGTGAGAAAACCCAAAATCACACCAATAACAATATTTTCTTCCCTGTGAGGGTGGGCAGGCCCTGGCACAGGGTGCCCAGAGCAGCTGGGGCTGCCCCTGGATCCCTGGCAGTGCCCAAGGCCAGGTTGGACACTGGGGCTTGGAGCAGCCTGGGACAGTGGAAGGTGTCCCTGCCATGGCAGGGCTGGCACTGGATGGGCTTTAGGGTCCCTTCCACCCAATTCGTTCTGTCATTCTGAGATTTGGTCACGTTTTCACTCTGGAAGAGGAAGTAAGAAGTTTCCATTCAGCTCTAACTCTGCTGTTAAGCAATATCTCCAGGGAAGTTCCAAGCAGAACATCTCCAGCCTGAGCCCTTGAGATGCAAACTTGTGGATTTTGCATAGTTGGCACAAAACCCGATCCCTTTTCTAGAGGCCAATGTGAACATTTCCATTGCAAACTCCTTCTGCAGGTGCCTGCCCACTCACACCATTAATAAAGTCATGAAAGCTGCAAGAACAAGGTAAATTAATTCTCATTTCTGTCAACATTAACTGGGAAATCAGTCCTTACCCACAAGTTCTCCCATTGCAAGAAGAATTTGGCCTCTTGGTAGGAAGAAGGATCTTTGATTAGTCTGATACACTCAGACAAAAAAACAGCGAGGATCTCATCACACACACCCTCTTCAAAGTGTAAATTAAAATCCTCATCCAGAATCATTTAATCGAGGACTATAAAGCCAGATTTCAGAAGTGCTCTTTTCCAAGGCAGGCACATAAATAGAGATCAGATTTATAAAAATGCTATCAGCCAACAATTCCTGCTCAAACACATCTGGCCAGATTTCAAAACCAATTCAGCAGCCAGTTAATCACTTGCTCTTTATTATTTAACTTACTATTAGCATTGGGGGTAAAAAAAAAACCCGAGAGATATTTTTATTTTCTTTTATCTTTTAAAATATTCCCTGCATCTTGCTGGGGTGGAATTCAAAGCCTTGATAAAAATCATGACATTTTAAAAAAGTCAACTGCTTCTCAAGCCCGTGTAAAAATGCAGGGGGTGAATTGAGATCACTGCTTCCCTTTACAGCTTCTTGTTCAAAAAATGAGATTAGCACTGCACTGAGAATGCCACAAAAAACCCACCCAGAAAATAATCAGCAGCTTATGAGGGTTGAGCTGGGATGGGAATGAATAGGAAGTTGGAATTCTCATTATTGCTGGCAGTTCTCTGAGGACACCAG